TGTCGGGTATTAGGATCAGGGAGGGTGCCAGCAACCTCCCCACCCCGCCCCCCGCCAGCGCACCAACTCACCCAGGCGGCAGGCACCAGTGACTGGGTCGCACGAGTCCTCATGGCAGCTGCAGGCCTGGGCGCAATCCACACCGTGGAGCCCGGGCGGGCACGTCAGGTTACAGCTACGAGGGAGGCGCAGGTTCAGGGAGGGCCACAGCGACGCTCCGCGATGCCTCCGGCCCTGGCTCCTGCGGCCGGCTAACCTCTGTCCTGGAGCTCTATTCTCTAAGGACTGATGCCCACCTCCACTTCGGGGCACATATTCTGCGATCCGTGTTTTAGAAATGGATATGTGTGCACACCAGTAGGAAGGGGCCTGGGGGACCGGCCAGTGGGGCCACTGGGCCGCAGTGCCCATCCCTGAGACTGACTTGTGTGGATGGGAAAGGGGCTGCCCGATCAGGCCCTTGGCCGTCAGTGGAGGTCCCTGCTCGCTCTACACCAGCTCAGGTGGACCTCAGGAGCCCACTGACCACAGGCTGAACTGGACGTCGGATCCAGCTCCAAGTGCCGGCTCGAAAGAGTCTGTTGTCATTCCTTAGCCAAGGTAAGGGGGCCAACGTTGAAGGGTCAAGCCGTGGTCCCACCAACATAGAAGCACCGGGGCGTCTGGCTGGAGCCCTGTGTCAGGTTCATACCCCGCCCCCTTTAGGCCCCGGGCACTCACTGGGGCCCATGGACACCAGGGCTACACAGGCATCGCCCGGATTGGAAGTCGCAGTGACCACTGCCGCAGTCGACGCACACGAATGCGCAGTCCTCGCCGTAAGTGCCATTGCTGCACTTGGTTTCGCACCTCGAAATGCGGGGAGGAGGGTTAGTGGAAATGGGGGCAAACGAACCCAAGCCCACAAAGCCCTCCACCAAGGGCATCAGGGGCGGTGGGGCAGCGGGACTGGGACCGATTATGGCACAGGTTGCTCACCGATCGCCGATCCAGCCTGCGTTGCAGCGCGTGCATTTGCCAGTGACGTGGTTGCAGGCGTGCCCGTCGCGACATGGCGGGCAGCGGTGGCTGCAGCCCTCGCCGTAGAAGCCAGTGGCGCAAGGCTGGTCGCACTTG